GCTCTCCTACCTCCAGATGTTTGAGGAGGCAGCTGGCTACGCCAAGAGGATGGTGGACGGCTACCTGTATGGCTGTGCCTTATTTTTCGTGGGTTTTGGTGGTCATGCAACGTTAGGCAGCATGTTATACAAACAATTTAGGGCCAAATTTGCTTTTTCTTTGCAGAAATTATCCCCATCGAGCAGCATTTCTGGCATTCAGACTGGGCCGAACAATTTAGGGCCAAATTTGCTTTTACTTTGCAGAAATTACTTTATCCCCATCGGGCAGCATTTCTGGCATTCAGACTGGGCCCGGATTGTATCAGCAGAGAGGGAGGGACTCTTTCATAAATGAAGAGTTCACAAACAATCTGATTTACTGAGTTGTAACTGGCAAGGAGTTTGGTTACATCTTTCATTAGCCTCTCTGTTTTGCATCTATGGGCTGCCCTAGTGGCAAAACACAAAGGCTGGGTAAAGGAAAGAGAGAAAATCGCTGCAGAACATGGCCTGCTCCCCTGTGTACTGCAGGAAGGAGATGTTGCAGTGATGAGAGAACTCCCAGGTGGCTGCACTTACAGGCTGCCTTCGCTCCTGAATAATATCTAGATATCTGTCTTGGTTAAATAATTCATGCCTAAGGCCTGTGGCAAAGGCCCATTGAAAACAAAGAACTTCAAGCTTGGTCCTCAAAGGACTGACCTCACAGTAGAAATGTCACACCTCATTATTATTGTGATTTCTCTACAGGACTGGTGAATATTAGTTAGCAAAGATTAAAAAATAAGCAATGAAAGCCATAAAGAACAGAAGGGAGGAAATCCTGTCTCATTATCCTGTTCATTCTTGTACTGAAAGCGACTCCTTCTCATTGCTTTCTCTTTTGGTCTAGTCTATCCCCAAAAGCCTGTGATTTTGGGGATCACCCCAAAGAAGGGTGATAGCAGCTTACAGAACTTGCTTGGCATGGTGGTCTGACAAGCTGCTTTTGAGGCCAGTGCCCAGCCTCGGCACTGATCTACTGAATGACATGGAGGAAATTGCTTCCCCTCCCCGTTCCTTGTTTTTTTTTTTCAGTCTAAAATGGGGATCATGGTAATTCCCTTTCTTACTTTATGACATGACAGCGTAAAATGCTAAATAAGCCCTTAACAGTGGGTTTGCAGGTAAATCCAAGCACCTTTTGGCCCTGTCTGAGATTTAAAGTTAGATTTAGAGTGCCGGATGTGTCTTGCCCATCTAAGATACAGGAGTTAGCAGAGTGGTCTTGCAGTCCCTGCAGGGAGGGATGTATCGCCAGGGGATGACACAAACATCTCTGGAGTTTCTGCAATCACCTTGAAGTGATGATTGTTGCATTCTCAGTTTAGGCATGCCAAGCAGGTGAAACCTGGGCTGCAGGGCTAGATCTGGGTTTTGTGAGTGTCAAAATATATGGAATTGCAAAGCCTGGCTTTCTCTGGCCCAGGTATCCACCTTTCACTATTAGCATGCTGTTCATCCTCCGTCCCTCTCACATCAGCTCATGTCCTCCTGTAATTCGTGTCCTCACATAACTCCTGCTTATGCATTACACCCTTTTAGAGCAGAGCTGTGCATTTCAGTGGCATAAATGCAGTAGGATTGTCACTTCAGCAAACAGTTTGCAATTCAGCAAACATGACCTGTCATTGACAAACATTGGGGAACTCGGGTTTTCCCTGAACTAAACTTACACAATGTTTTTCCAGGAAAATTTACCATCCCAACAATGCGCAGCTGGGGATGGCGCTGATGCGGGCAGGAGTGACCCACTGGCATGCTGGTCTCATTGAAGCTGGCCATGGCCTCATCTGTAAAGCTTATGCCATTCTTCTGGTCACCCACGGACCTTCCCACCCCATTACCAAAGACCTGGAGGTAGGTGTTGGGATTCCTGTGTGGTCTATAAGTTGGCCATAAAGGAATTATGCTCAAGCTGTGGAAACAACTTCTCACTTGCTTCTTACTTGCTGTAGTTTTCTCTAGGTTATATTTCAGATTGCTGAGAAATGCATGTTCTTGTCTATGGGAAACTTTCATCTCCGAGAAATAGTTTTTAGCCTGCATCAGGGCATACATTAAAAATGGCCCACAAGTCTCTGAATCTTTTCACTGTGACCAAGGATAAATCTCCCATTCTTGAGAAAGTCTGCTTTCCCTGTTCTCAGATGAATGGCATAACAATTTGGCTATATGAAATTACAAATGGTGGACCTGTTCCCAGCTTACCAAGTGATATCCATTATCTTATATTGTATGTTGACCATTTTTGTTCTCTATTTATTGCTCCCTTGTCCTTCTCCTCGCTGACAGGCTTTCTTAGTAATGAGTTGCAATACATTTTTTTCCTCAAATGACTGATAAGGTTTCCCGGCTTAAGGTCAAGAGCTGCAGATTGCAATCAAATTATGACTGCTCAGCTGTGATTCACCGTTTGCAGTTACACCTGGGTAGCTGTCGTTTCTTTAGGCTTTAATTCTCCTCGTGTGACCTGTCAACTTTACAGCATTCTCCTTTATTAGCCAAAAAAAAAAAAAAAATCACTATACCAAAAACAATCCTTTATTGAGGTCTTAATTCCATTACAACAGAACTAAAGCTAGAAGAAACTAGTGGGTTTATGGCACACATTTAACAGCTAAGGGTCTAACAAACTGTCAGGTAGGTAAAAAGATGTTCTAAAACTCCTTCTGGGCCTATGGTACTGCTGCATGATACAGCACTAGGAATGACCCTGCACATGTTGAATCCTGGGATGCAAGGGGATGCAGTGACGAGGTGGTCAAGGTGGGGCCGAGCATCTCACTCTCCCATCCCTGCCTCCTCCCACAGGAGGTGACCTGGCTGGAGATGATCCGAACTCTGATGATGGATCTCACCATAGGTCAAACCCGTGGCATGGATGGGAATACACCTGTTCCCTGGCTCTGCACGGTGTCAACTCTGGGTCCTTGTATCTCTTGTGCATCAATTGAGTTTGGGACCATGAGGCTTCCCAGCAGCTCACAGAGGAGGTGACAAAGGGAAGGCTGATGCCTTCTTGACCCACACTGGCAACTGGGTTGAAAAAGTACCCGATTATTTCTGTCCAGTTTGGCACTGCTTATAGAGAGCTAGAACAAGGTGCATCATTACATGGCCTAGGATATCACTGACGGACAGGTCTCATGTGAAGGGAGTGAGTTATTCACTAGCTTTGAGATCCTGTGCATCACAGCTCTTTAAACCGCTCTGTCTTTCAGGTCATGCGTGTGCAGACGGAGATGGAGCTGCGCATGTTCCAGCAGAATGAGTTCATGTATTACAAGATGAGGGAAGCTGCCCTCAAGAACCAAAAGATTCAAGTCATGCCTGAACCCTCCAATGAGACCTCACCCAGTCTCTTCCACAAGAAGGAATAAAACTTGAGCCTGACCCAGATACATGTGTGTGAGATAACATCACCTGCGGCAGCTCCAAACATAGGGAATGTGATATGTGAATGTGGTGTATCCATAAAGATTTTTTTCCAGTGGCACCTGTCTGAGAACATGGATCTGCTTGGGAAAAGTCCAGAAAAATCTTCTGGGGGCTTAGAGTAGAATTGCTCCTTGCAGAAACAACATCTCTTTTTTTACTACCACTAGCATTAAAAATAAAAGTATGAAAATCTGTTATAAAATGCTTTAAATTCTTGTTCAAAGCCTTTTCTCTCCAGGCAAGTCCTGATCCTGAATTCTTTGGTTACATTTTTAATTCTTTCCTAAATGTTTTCTTCCATCACTTCTTCGTGATGACATAATTTTGTTCTGATGATGTCTATGAGTATTTTAGGAAAGGACAGTAGAAGTGAGAAGCTGAGTTCAAAAAAGTCATGTATGCTTGTGAACATGAAGTGCAAGTTATGTAAGTAGTATCCAACTGCTGGTACTTTGCAAGTGACACAGAACAAGTGAAGATACAACCTCTGGATAAATTACTTATGATAAATTTGTTACTATACTTAAAAATAGGAAATGTTTACAGTGCTGTCAAGGAGATGGACATGGGATGGGTGCCAAAACCTGTTGTCAGATCAGAAACATCATCCCAACCAGAACATCATCACATCAACCATAAATTCACTTCCCAGTGAAAATTTCCAGTTAGCCTCCACACACACAGTTTGGAAGCAGCTGCTACCAAGGAAGAATTTCCTTTCCTTTGTGGGTCAGAAACCCCATCTTCATGCATCCTGCCAGAGATCTAAGCCCTGGCGGGTGCGAGGGAGAGCATCAGAGATGGCTGAGTGGCTGCTGTGAGCAACCAGCATCATTCTTTCTGCCAGGAGAGAAAACCTGTATTTTACTCGAGAAGAAGGATCCAATTTACCAGGCACAGCTTGGTGTGAAACACACACTTAATACCCGAAGACTGTTTGGGGCCCTCCAGTCAGTGGGAAAGGATTGGGAGTGGATAGCGATGGGTTTTATGTAGCCTGCAGGACTGAGTCCTGTTGCCATCTGACCAGAGGATGGGGACGCTCCTGGGATGCCTCAAATCTTCCCACACTCATCCCTATCCAAAGGCACCCTGTGCCCAGCCAGCCTGGCTTTCCAGACTTGTGGCCACATTGGTCCACGTCGTTAATCGAGTGGGCCAGAGCCCTTTCTCCAGCCCTACACCTGGTGGGCACTTTTCCCTCCACCCATGCTTTCCATCCCAGAGCATCCAGACTGCCAGAAAAGTGACATGCACATCTCACTGTGGGCTGAGCCCGTATCCTTGTCCTGCCCTCCTACCGATGGAGGAACAGCATCTGCTGAGCCTATTGCCCAATTTCCATGAGTTGGGGCGTAGATACAAGTGAAGGGTAGGTGCCAAGGCCCAGGCAGCTCTTACAGCAATCCTTGAAAATGATGGCATCTCCCTATAACCACAATGAAGAGGCTGACAATAGTAATGAAAAGGTCTTTAATATAAATTTGGTTCCAGTGAACACATTTTACACAGTAAAATGATAAGCATGCACAGGGTTTCTAGATTCTCTTGCTGATTCTCTTGTAGGTGAGATCTCCCATGGTCATGGTCTACAAAGCAAACACAAAGCATGAGCTTTTCATGGTGTGTGGCTGCAAACTCTCTACACAGAAAGGATCTGATCTTGCACATCAGAAGTGCAGTGGTCCCCACTCTGTCCTCTACAGAGTTATTAAAGTTTTGGCTACATGAATGAATACCCCAAAGTGTGCAGGGATAATTTGTTATCCCTTATCTGAGAGAGTCTGCCACACCTCTCTTGTGTAGATGTGCTATCACAAACCTATACCTCAGGCTGAGAATATGATCTCATTATGTGATTAGACTACACAAAATCCCCTTCAGCGCCTGTCCACTGTGCTAGCACATGCTGGTCTTGAACACTTCATGGAGGTGCTCAGCATTACTCCGGCCTACTCGGTTGGCTCCATCAGGATCTGCAAAGGCAGCTATATAGACCATTTATTCATTCCACAGCCCCTTCTGTACTTACATTGGTGAGGGTGTCTCCATTGAGTACAGTGACGGATTTGACCCCTTTCATGGTTACCACCAGCGTGTTGTCGCCTTCCATCTGCACAAGACTCTGGCAGAGAGGGGAGGAGACGGAGACATCAACATTACTCATAGAGACCATTTCAGCCCCTGTCCTTGCGCTTCCCCATCATCACTGAGCCTCTTGGGTCAGCATCTCCCTTCCACCAGAGGCTCCTTCAGCATGCAGACTAAGAGCTCAAAGCGAAGAGGTGTGGAGCCCTGGGTCTCTGCTAGGTGCCACATCACCTCCTCTCCCTGCCCTGCCTTTTGCAGTCTGCTGCAACCTCCTCTTTTGGGAGTCTGATGGGGAGTTGTGTGGCAATGAAAGGCTGGAGGTAGCCTAAATCAAGGTGGGGGGACAATATAATGAGCTTAAACAAATACAGATGCACCTGGAAAGCTCTCAAGGGGATGGGCTTCTCCACAGAGTCTTTGCTTGATGGGAGCTGCAGGTCTACAAAGACTCCAGCTATCACAACACCCTCAGGGCAGCTATCGTGCAGTGTTAAAATTACTTAGGTTAAAAAAAATCACCACCAACAAAAAACATTTTTGTCCATCTATCTGTGTAGCTATAAGACATATTAATCTGCCCTCTAATTGCCCATTTCAGGAAGATAAAACTCTCAAAACAGCCATTCTCCCTTAGCCATATGTTAGGGATTTCAGTGATGCTGAGAATCATGACATGGCATATGAGGCTCTTAGGGCCTTATTCACCAAAAAAAAAAAGGCGTTGCAATGTCACCCTCTCCTGTGGCAGATGTGAGCCAGTGGCACTGTCTTGGCTTTTCATGAACCACTTCAAACACTTGGCTAGGAATGGGAGCTGAGCCAATTTCCAGGGTGATAAATCCTCACCTTCCAAATCACCTCACCCGGTGTAAACAGGAGCTGTGGAAAAGGCTACCAGACAAGATAAGAGCCTCTGGGACTTAAAAGGACAGATTTATTGTTTTATGATTCATTTGCCTCTTTCTCACACTACCTTTAAGTCAACAAAATGAAGATGGGAGGGATGCTTCATGTTGCAATATGGTGTAAATTTAAGCCTTTCTCACCTCAAATCTTTGAAAACTTTTGCAATCACAGCTGGTGTTTTCTGAACTGGCTAATAAGAGAGCTTTAGAAATGTGAGGGCACGTCTGCAGAGGTGCTGAGTAGGAGTTTGTATGGTGTTCTGTAAAAGCTAGCAGGGCAGATAGAAGCCTCGGAGTCTGACTCCAGCTTTCTCAAAAAGGTTGCTCTGAAATGGACCTGCTGTATCTGAAAACGTACACCTACAAGACTCGCTGAGGAGCTGCCAGAAGAGCACCGTGTGTCACATTGACAGACTTCATTTCAGGATTCAGCCTGGAAAAGGTAATTTACCTGTCCGGAAAGGTAATTTAAGGTACCCGAGTGCTGTGGCATGGGCAGCGGTGGAGCTGATCACTTACCTTGACCTTCTCTCCTGTCAACATCTCCATCTCGCTCTCCACCCCGACAGTGAACTCATTAGTCAGAACTCTGCTGCCGACGGTCACAGTAATCTTGAACTTTTTCCCATCCTGCACAATTTCTGAGATGCTCTTGAGGTCCTTGCCCTTCTGGATCTGCTCATCGGAAAGCCCTGGCAAGAAACAAGGGCTGTTAGATGGGCATGAGAGCCACCAGTGGACAGATTGCTGCTGCTGGAGGGAGAAGCTGGAAAAACCTTGTCAGGGTGACACCTCCGCACAATAAATAAGGTCATCCAGGACTTTGTGTGAAGGAGCTGTCTGAGAGCAGAACAGCTCTCTCCTTTGTCCAGTCATCAAAGGGAAAAATAAACTCTGTTTTCCTCCCCTCACTGAGTGTGGAGAGAGAAGCAAGCAGAGAAAACAGATTAAATCAAGGCAAATGTGGTGAAATTCAGTCCTGCTTAACTAGGTGTCTCAAGTCCTCTACCAGGTCCTGACGCTGATATGGTACATAGAGCATCTCCTGCAGAAGTAGCTCATCTGCCCTGTAACACCTGCAGGAGCACATTCCCTGGCAATCTGGTTAGCCATGTCCATTAGTAGGCATGTAGACACGACAGTTATTTTTCTGATGAGTGGTGGAGCCTGGACACTTGCCCCATTGCACAGCAGCAGCACCGTGCACTGGAAGGCAGGATGCTCACTCCCATATTACACAGCCAGATGGGACAGGGCTTTGACTGCCCAAAGCCACCACATCCTACTGGCTTGGCACATGTCCACGGCAGTCACTGGTCTGGCTCATGGCTGCCGAGACTGCTGGGACCGTTTTCATGTGAGTTGAAGGACTTCACCCTGGGTCTCTTGACCCTCAGCCATCAGTGAGAGAGATACTGGCTCTTCTGTATTTTGAGATGACATCTCCATGCACATGCATTAAAAAGAAAACCCTTGGCATTGTAATGCGACAGAAATATCAACTGAGAAGGATTTTCAACCTATATCATCAACACATATGTACAATTGGATTATTCCAAATACCAGTGGAACCTACATAAGCACAAACACCACATGGCACACACAAGCACACAGAGCAGACACTTACCAAGCGCTTTCATAAAAGGTTCAAAATTTTCCTGTGACTGGAGTTCATACTTTCCATTGAAGCTCATGATGGAAAGGCTCTCTGTGTTCCCAACACAAGAGAAGATGTCTTGCAGGCAAGCAGAGCTTGGTTTTATAAGGACCTTCTGCCCCAAAAGTTGGTCAGAGGTGAGATGATGTAATTCTTTTATTGCTGTGTTCAAACATTAACACAAAACTGGGCAATGGTCAGCGATAAATCACTGTATTTTACGGATCTTGATTTACGACATGGGGGCAGGGAATGTCCCATAACCCTGTTTTATGGGGTTAGCAATGTGGCATCCATAAACAAATGGAGGAGAAAACCACACAGAGAGGCTGATTATGAGAGGAATTCAGAGCCAAATCATCCAATCAGCTTGTAGTCTGGAAATGTACACTTGGAAGAGCAGAAAGTAGTGAAAGATGGTGGCCCCTGGAGCTAACACCATTGGTGTCTCTGTTTGCTCATGTGCACATGTTAAGTTTCTAACACTGCCACAAAAAATATTGCCTGTGCATAGGCAGAGTGCGGAGACTGGCACTGCTATAGACGCCCTTCAGTCCACTGTACCTATGAACTTCACTATAATCCAGGGCAAGTTCTCTGAGCGCTTTTCCCAGTGCTGAGCTGCTTTCCCCCACAGGAATTATGCCACCTTAGGATTTATGGTTTTTCCCCCTTCATGTAGTGCAGTGATGTTGAAACCCTCAGAGCCGCCATGGGCTGCAGTGTACACGGGCCCTTTGCAGGGCAGCTTTAATGTGTGTGGTGTGAGCCTGACCTCGGCTGGGGCAGCGTGCTGCCAAGGCCACCCGTGCCATGCAGCCAGCTCCCGTCCCTCTCCAGATGGCCTGCACCCAGCATGGCCTAACTGAGGCCACGATGGCTCCCGAGCACCCGTGCCATGGGCCTGGGGTGGCTTCTCCAGTCCATTTGGGTCCCCGAGAACTCTCATTCTTCCATCATATATATGAAGGTAAAAAACTAGATGATTACTTTTGTCTCTGACTCATTTGGGAGCTCCGTACTCCCAATGCCCCGTGGTACATCCACCATGGGAATATACTTACCTTGCTGTCACGGCCGCCTGCAGTTCCAATCTCGTTCACTGCTCAGTGAGACGTGCTCCCACACCAGCACATCCCACCACGTCCCAAAGCCGGCACGGTCACCCGGCTCTCACCCATTCTCGGGTGCAGGTGGGAGAGAAGGGGTGGCCTCTGGACCAGCACGGAGGGACTTTTCTCATCTAATCTCAGCCATGTGTAACACAAGGACTTCCTCAGAGCTCCTGTGCCGATGAGCCAAAGGAGGGACACGCCATAGGCAGCAGCCCCAGGCTACCTGTCTCCCCCAAAGAAGCCTAGATGACTGGATCGTTTGCAAACAATTAATATCAGGCAAAATGAATCCAACTTAGGTGCCTCAAGGAGCACCTGGAATTTCCCCAGTCATCGCAGACACCCCTGTCGCAAGCTTCCCCAGCCAGACACATGCTTTTTGTGAAAGGAGGTGTGGGCACCAAGCCCCACAGTGCTGGTGGGGATTTGACCTGAGACAGGACTCTGAAACCCTCCCTGGTTTTGACCCACACACTTTGAAATGGCTGATGAAAAAAAAAAAAACAGTTTAGATGTGAGTCTGGAAAAGCATAGGCGCTTTCTCCATCATTCCAAACATCTTTCCATTCCAGGATTTACATCCAAGCTGGAAATTTCTTCCCTTAGACCCAAAATAGGGAAACTGTCTTTTAAATCAGGCATGAAATATTTTTGCTGATGTTATTACTTACCATTTGAGGCAGAACATTAGTACTCCCTGCACTAAGACAACTAGGAGCTGAGTCATGAAAATGAAGCTGACAATAAAGCTTGCTAGTTGAGACAGTAAAACTCTGGAACAAACCTTGGTTTAAGAGGAATATCTGCAATTAAATGCTTCAGTCTATGTGATGCTTAATGTAGTTAGCTGGACCAATGTGGAAACCATTAGGAATTGGGTAAGAACTTCCCCTGGGTAGGCCAGTCTCTTAAGGTCTAGGTGTCTTCCATGAATTTTAAACAGGATTCTCTTGGTCCAAGTCCAAGGATTCTCTTGGCTGGCAGCAGAAATGGGCAACTTGTGATATAACTGACCTCACTTCAGATCGAAGGTGTTTTCTGCAGGTGTCCTCCTCTTCTCATTTATTGCAGAGAGATATATGATAACTATGCTTCTAGCTTCAACATGTTGAGTAATTATAGATGATGGAGGTAGGAGAAGTAGAAGCAGACAGTGAGTACATTTAGATAGACAGGAGTCTGGAGAAATATCATCTACTCTTGGTGTCTGCTGAAGTAGGAGTCATTCTCCTTTGGATTTATCTGAGTTGCTTATTGCATGTACTACTGGCAAGTTTGGAAATGCAACCAACTGTTAGTTGTTATAAGTTACTTATAGTTATCAATGATCAAAATTAAAAGCTCCCTTTTTTTTGACATGTGCTCAGTGGATTCACATTGTTTTATTTCCTCTAGTAAAGAAATGCAGAAGTATATATGAAAAAGGAGGATAAATCCTCGCTGAATGAAATTTGGCCAGGGTAATAATTATCTAACCAGGCTTGCTGAGCAAATGGCAGGTGAGATAAACTTAATCTCAATAGCAAAGTTCAGAATACTTGTATATCTCCCCACGAGAATATGGAATCTTTTACCTTTCCAGGACATCTTAACTTTCCAGGGTCAAGAAAGTGCACCTGGTTTGAATTATCACAAATCTGAGCCAGCTGATGGTTTGATTAAAATCTGCTCCATAGCCTAAAACCTGGATATGGTTTATAAAAAGAGAAAAGGTTCAGGTCATTCTCAAAATTGATTAAGCTCTCTCTTGCAAAAGGCAAGCAAATAAAGCTTAGGATCTTAGAAGCTTGTTACATTAAAGGAGGCAAGTGTGCCACTTCTGCTTTTTGCTTGTGAATCAATGATATGGACATGCAAAGCTTCTCAGTTACCTCCTAGCTATATAAGTACCAAATTCTCTGTGTTCCAAGGCTTTGGATCACAGAAATGCAGGTTGGGAGAGACCGCTGGAGGTCTCTGTCTCAAGCTCTTGTTGCCGCTATGAGATTTGTCTGGCCAGTCTTGATGTCCTCCTCCTTTATCTCCTGGGGTACCCGTCCCAGGGCTGCATCACTCACCTGTGGAAGAATATATCCTCCTCTTCACCCAAATCTCCCGAAGTGCAGTTTGTGGACATTACCTCTTCTTATATGATCTGCTGTTAGCAAAAACAGCTTGGCTCCGTCATCCTTGAACCTGCCCTTGGAGAAGCTGCAGGCTGCAACCACCTGCCCTCATCCTTTCGCAGGGTCACGCCACAGATCCACATTGACTGTGTCTGAGTCAATCATATCTATCCGTCAGGGCAGAGATGGGAACCCCGGTGTGCCTCTAAGCAGGGAATAACATTCATTTTTTTTTCCTGGAACCTAATGGGTTTATGTGCATCCTTTGTCCAGCAAAAGGCCTTTGCCCATGGGGATTGAGAAATCAGCATCTCACACTGTCCCACAGCCTTACAATTTAGATGTTATTGTAGGGGATTTTGACTCTCCTTTGTCTGATCTGGATGTTGCAGGAGAAGGCCAAGCGATCTGGTATTAGGGCTACTGTGGGGAGGCCAGGGGCAGGGGGGGAACTTTCTGCCCTCTCTAGTTTGAACCAAAGCTCTGACTTCTGGAGCTCTGAACTCTAGAAAGGAGTTTACAGCTGGGACTGCAGCAGGAAGAGTTTGCTGTAGCTTGACAGCCTTGCAGCCTTCTCACACCTCTGCATCTCCTCTAGTCTACCAGTGACTCCCCATGAAGCCTTTTCTTTCACTTTAGTGCTTTGTGAAGCTGGGACTGAGCAATGCACTAGGACTTAGCCAAAAAAAACGAAGGGCTACAAGCCAGGGCATTTGCTGGTTCAGTCATGGGTTCCTTTAGTGCAGACCCACTTGGGCATCCCCAAACTCATAACTGTTTTTGAAGAGCATGGTCATCGGCTTGTCAATCACAGATGCACTAAAAGATCTTCCCTGTGTCTAGAGCCATATTATTGTTTGGGTCTTCATGTATCTGTCCTGATTGTACCTGGAAACTTGGTCTCCTGACCAGTTTTCATGTCTTGGTCTGCAGTGCTTTTTATTTATTTATTTATTTTGTAACTTGAAGGAACAAAGGTTTCTTTAGAAGGCCACATGTCTGTGTTGCTTTGAAAGGTTGGATGGGATGGGGATAGATGTTGCTGCTGCTCACAACCCTCTGCCGATCTTGGCTTCCACTAGATTTTCATTGGGCTTTGTTACCAAGATAGCGTGACATGAAGTAAGGCACAATTCACAGCTTTCTCTCTCTTTCTCTCTTTTGTTTTTCTCTTTCTCTCTTTTCTTTTTCTCTTTCTCTCTTTTCTTTTTTTCCTCCTTTGGTTTCTAAATGGCCTTGATGATCTTCTGGAATCAGGCTGGCTGGCAGCAAGCTGTAGCTTTCAAGCTGTAGACGTGCAAGTGCCAGTTTACATTGTCTCAGATTAGATACACCATTATCAGAGCCTTGACAAGCCTGCCGAAAATGGCAGCTCCTATAGAGTACCGCTGCTTGATAACACCTTCGATTAATGTGAAATCCAGTGAAGGGCAGCACTCAGCTCTTCTCATCTTATTACCAAGGTCCCAAAGGGACCAAAGGCCATGTACTGCTTCTCCTTGGGCAAGGCCAAGGCAATACCTTTTTTTTTTTTTTTTTTTGATACTTTAGCTTTGCTTGCCAGTGTTGACGTGGAGAGCAGAGCTTACCGAAGAGCTGGCCTTCACTGCTAAGGTCTTGCCTTATAGCAATAACCCAACAGCTAACCAGAGCTATCTTGCCATAAGTAAAGGAGGAAGGAATGCTGTCTCCTGGAGATTAACTTGGCTGCTCTCAAGCTTGCTGGACACCAGAGCTGCTGTTACTGCCCAAGAGGATCAAGAGGTGCAAAGACCACAGCATGGCCTGACCACCATGAGTTTGTAGCAAGAAACCTGGGCTGCAATGACAGGCT